AGAGAGAGAGAGAGAGAGAGAGAGAGAGAGAGAGAGAGAGAGAGAGAGAGAGAGAGAGAGAGAGAGAGAGAGAGTCTGTGAGACCTTGTCAGGGATAGACCATGGCTAGTGGATAGACTAATGACTAAGAGGTCACAATTAGGGAACCTGAAGTGGAAAGTTACATGTCCCTTTGGCTAGCACCGGTTACCATTGACTGCGCGATGCTTTCCTGTTATGTACTAACGCTGTGTTGAAGAGACGGTGTGGAAGGAGATGGGATATCGAATGCCAATCGTACACATTTTTCGCCAGCAGGTATATGCCCGTGCTATCCAAAAGCAGCAGGGGAGCGGAATTCATTGCAGTTAGAACTTAGAAAAAGAACAGAGCAATGGAGGGTCGGCTTTATTCACATACAACTTGGGTACAGCTGATATACTCCTACAACTCAGGGTTCAAAATTCAAAATTTCTTAATAAGCCTCAAAGGTGGTGATAGGGAAGCAAATCCGAAAAAGGTGAAAGATGTTAGACCGCCAGAACTTCCCAGCCTCCTTGTCCTGAGGCGGACTTGTGCTGTGCGGCCCCCCAAAAAAGGACCGACGCAGCGCAAGTTTTCTTTGTTTTGGCTGGTTCCGTCAGTCAAACAGATCCTGCAGGCCACTGTACGCCAAGCCCCAAAAGACGCACGGGGTGCGTACACGGCCGCATCAGAACAAAATCGCCGGTAAACATACCAGGGGTTCAAAGCACCAGTACACGGGCCCAGCCTTGCAGCAAAACATCAAACATCTTGTCGCCACAAGATTGTTTTTGCGGCTAGGGCCTACCGGACCCCACAAGGGCTGGCGCCGCCAGCCAAAAAAGAAAAGAAGTGCCGCACTGGCAGTTCGGAAAGTGCGGCGCTGGCGGTTCGGAAAAGGAGGCCCGGGTGTACTGGTGGTTTAAATTACTAAATCAAATCATAACCTCATCAAATTGCTGATGTGCACCCTTTGCATGGCATGTACGCGACCTCAGGGTAGGTCAGGTTCAGATCGGGGGTTAAATCATGGATTAATTTGCAATGTCTTCCGCACAGGCTAGTAAGCGTATGTAACTGGGGTCAGCGTAGGAGTCATTCAATCAAACCTCAGGGAAGGGTTAAAGTCGGGGGCTCGAGTGCAATTTCTATTGCTCAGCGTAACGAGTTCATGGCAGATGCTCAGGTCAGGGCTCAGGTCAGGGCTCAGGTCAGGGCGTCGGGTACCATTTCCTCTCCCTAGCAGTGAATACATGCCATCAGGCATTTTGTTAGGTCAGGCTGTCAGGTCAGGCACCTGGTTAGATTGTGAGGTCGGGTCAGGGGGGGGTTGTTTGGTCACAGGGTGACGTCAGGAGGCCATGTCAGGTCAGGGGTTCAATCAGGGTTTCAGGTCAGGTGCGTCAGGCACGCGGGTCAGTTAAGGGGGTCAAGTCAGGGGTTCAGGTGCCTAGTTCTTCCCCCTAGATCCCCCCTTGCACAGGAGATTCTTTGAGCATTGCGGAGACGTGATGACCGGGAGGACTGCGAGGAGGGAAAACCTGCAAGAAGCTAGGAAATTGCACTAGTTGTGCCTCAGATTGGAAAAAGTTCTCAATGCTGCGCACAGCTAGAACTAATACAACTTTTAAGCTCACCAACTAATGGTAAGTATGTAGCCAATCAGAATTCAGGAAAGCACATCTAGTCTGCCAAACCAAAGAAAAAAAAACCAGCATGGAAATCAGCGAGTTCAAAGAAGCAACTGGAAGGCGCGCACCATCATAAGCAAGTTAAAAAGCAACAACTAAGATTCAAGAGTGAGTTCGTACAAGTCTTTGGCGGCTGGATGCAACTTGCAACGACCGAACAGGCAGCGGCTATTGAAGGAGAATGAGACACTGACCGCGGGTCATCATCCCTAATGATGTCGATGAATGAGCTCCTCTGATCGCTGTCGATTTCTTCGCCATGTTAAATATATCAAGGAAGGTAAAATCTAGCAGTGAAAACAGATTTGGTTAGCAGGACAAGATTCACCTTTGGCGGAATCCGTTTGTCCCCTCGTGCTGATAATACGAAAAAGAGCCCCGCCCCTCTCTCCGCCTTGCTGTGACCAGGAACTCGAAGAAAGCAAGCCATTCGTCAAAGCGAAGAAACACTCCACGCTCTGTAAACTTTTGAAACCGAAGTTCGTGCTTGCTCGACAAGAGCTATGTTTCCTTCTCACAGGCGAGGCAGCACCGTTCTCACCTCCGTCACTCTATCACATCCTTGCCATGGAGAGTTCCCGCTAACCAGCGATCGCCGTGACCTGCAGTTAAATAGGCCTTCATTTCATAATTCATCTCTCACACTGATGATATCAATGGGTCCAGTTACCTCTTGATCGTCATGACGTGCAGAGTATTGATCGTCGCGGCATGGAGTTTGATGGGTATAAGGGGAGCTGACCACTATATCGATGATGCTTTTGATGGAATTGCTGGTACCTGCCCCGTGACTCGCCCCTACCACTGCCTCCTTTGAGACAACCCCATTGATACCAAATAGTACTATGAAATAAGCTGCAGTACCTTGCCCAGTCTGCTTAACTGCTCACCGTGGTTTGATACTACAGCTGCCCTTCTCCTGTTCCCCAAACTGCTCACAATCAACTGCAACAGTTGCTGGTGATGACAACGGACTTTGTGCCACAGCTGGAGAAGGAAGCGGGGAATCGGAAGGGACAAGCATGCAAAGTTGCATCTCTGTCGGTATACCGATCGCTTGCGGGCTGCAGGCACTACTTCCTCGCTGCGCATCAGAGGACATGGTAGTTTGAAATGCCAGAGATGCTGGGGACACGGCTGGCTCGGACACAGACGGAGACCTTCCAGTGGCTCGCGAACAGGAACAGGCAGACGCATTACTAGGAGGTCGAAGCACATCGTTGTTTGGTGAAAGTGGAGACTGCGGTGTCCGCAGCGGGCTCCCGGGGACAGACCGAGGCATTGAGGTTGGCGAGAACATCATTGATGTCCTCATTGGCCCCTGCTGAAATATAACTGCCTGGAGCGGACTTGGGTAGCCAGTCGCCCTGATTGTTCCGCTGGGATAAGGTGCTCCAGGAAGACGTGCTGGTGGAATGATCGATAGATGGCTTGTGGGAAGGGAATGCGCGGGGCGGTGGAGGCTCGTTGCAGGGGGCAAGGGATTGGGATTATGAGGGCTGTTATGAGTTGAAGGAGGTTGCATCGGACTTCCAGGAATAGATGACATCGACCCTGCAGACGGCCCGCGCCGTCTGCCCAAAGGGCTGCTTGGTAAATACGACCGGTAGGGGCTGCTCCCGAAGAGTGCTGCACGTAGAGGACTCGCAATATTGAGTGGACTGCTGCCAAACAAAGCAGCTCGGATAGGGCTTCCGAGATTCAGAGGGCTGCTCCCCACATGAAGAGGGCTATAACCGCCGCCATGGTCCAGAAAGATGGAGCACCTGCACTGGGGACATTTACTGGTGCGCAGCAGCCACTGATCAATGCAGTTCACATGAAAATTATGTGCACATGGGAGTAATCTCACCTGCACAAGCAGAACGTATCGTAGAGAGTTAAAAAATTTGTCCATCATTGGGAAGGAAAAGCAGGAAAACCATTCCCGTTCTTCTGTGACACAATATCAGCGAAACAAAAAGCTTTCCCTTCAAGAAAACCACTCCCTGGCTCATATGACATCCACAAAAAAAGAATTGAAACAGAGAGACTGCAGACAGAAACAACATCAAAGGGAGGAACATGAAAGGGAATTCAATCCTGTTTGTAAATGCGCCTGCGTTGGGGGATTGGAAAGGGAGGCAATGAGCCGTAGAAAGTTGGTGACAGGGGCACTAAAATGAATGTGTGTGTGTGTGTGTGTGTGTGTGTGTGTGTGTGTGTGTG